CTCTCTCTCTCTCTCTCTCTCTCTCTCTCTCTCTCTCTCTCCCTCTCCCCTCTCCCTAAAGTCTGGATCAGACATTGGCGACCCAGACCAGTATACGATCATCCCCAGAGACATTGCTGTATCCTTCCTGACTATTTTCAGCTGCCCAAGAAATTGGTGGGGCATCGTGATAAAACCAGGTGCTTGTGAAAATACTGACACCGAAAATACGGGCATTTCCCCGCCAGTTTAGCAATTTTCATCTCATTAAGATAAAATCTCAACACCTTCTATGTCCATTTATAAATTCGTCTCGATGTGGATTTTACTGAAAAAGGTTGATACCCCCCCCCTCAAAAAATAAATAAATAACACAACTACAAACAAATAAACAAACAAAAACACAAAAAACAAAGCAAAAACAAACAACAACAAAAAACAACCCCCCAAAAAAACAAAACAACAACAACAACAACACAAAACAACAAAGAACAAACGTGTAAACTTTCAGTTTCAAAGGTTCTTCAAACTATCACTATCATCATCACTGCCTTTCTCCCCCAGCATCATAGTATAGGCCACGAACAAACTTCACGTTCCACCTTTCCCTACCCTGGGCTAGCCGCTAGATGATAGTTCATATTGTCTTCCCACTTTCCTCAAACTGTGGAAGTCACCAAACTGTGGCGGCAATTTTCTCGCTAACTTTACCTCTGAAACCAGGCGACCCCACCCCCTTCAATTGCAAATAGCTTGATTCTATTTAAAATAGACGTGTTTTTTTCATCGAAAGATAGACACATGAAAAAGCTTTAGGTGATGCCAATAACTCCATAATAATAATAATATCCCCAAAAATTGACGAGAGCCTGATTCCACCTCGTCGAGACACAATATTTGGGCTTTTAAGAATGCCTTCCAGACTGATTTCCCGTCTGGTTTTTCACTTATAAGACGGATTTTAGATCTTGAAATGGTGAACTTGTACACATTAAATAAAGCACAAACACGCCCGTGCGTGGGCGCGCATGCACTTACATACACAAACAAACTAACACACAAACACATGCACACACACACACACACACACATACACACACACACACACACATACACACACACATACAAATATACTAGCGCACGTGCTCATTTGTCTGTCTGTCTGTCTGCTTTTCTTCCCCCCCCCCTCT